GTCTTCAACACGGAGCCTTGGCTCACACCGAACAGTAAGCTATAAAGGGCCCCAAAAAATTACTAGTGTAAAACCATTCAAACGGGAAACATGTTTGTGAGCGCTAAACCCTAACCCTACCATGGGTGAATAGTGTAACACTGAGCACAACACAAGAATAAACTGTAATGAACAGCTGCGCCATGAGCGCATGATACGCCCGTCGCTTTTTCAAAATATAAAGTTCAATAACTTCTCAATGTTATATCAGAAATTTATGAAAAACTAAAGGGAGGTTATATTAACAGATATAAACCAGTCACCAAAACACTTTGAAGATATTGTCCGAACACTGGAAAATCACCCATTTTTTTATGAATAATATCCCATAACTCGGAAATGTAAAATATTTTTTTTTTTAAATTGAAAGGGAACTTGCGTCAATAGATATAAACAATTCACCAAAGTTTCATGAAACTGCTGAAAGTATTTTTAAGTTATTGTCCGAAAACTGGAAAATCCCCCCTTTTTTAATGAATAAAACCCCATAACTCGGAAAAGTAAAATCTAAAATTTATAAAAATCAAAACGGAGCTCACGTCAATAGATATAAACAATTCACCAAAGTTTCATGCAAATTGGTGAAAGTGTTTTTGAGTTATTGTGCGAAAACTGGAAAATCCCCCTTTTTTAATGAATAAAACCCCATAACTCGTCAACGTAAAATCTAAAATTTATAAAAAACGAAAGGGAGCTCACGTCAATAGATATAAACACTTCACCAAAGTTTCATGCAAATTGGTTAAAGCGTTTTTTGAGTTATTGTCCGACATGTTGACGACAGACGGACAGACGGACAGACGGTATACCATAACAAGTCCCGTAAACGGGCGTATAAAAATCAGATGCAATTGGCTTAACTATATAGATCGGTATGACTGGGCAATATAAATCCATCAAAATCCTGGGGTGATCTCGTGTGCTCCGGAAGAGTAAGCAGATCCTGCTCAACGTGTGGCACCCGTCGTGTTATTCGTGAAAGTACAAACTCAGTGATTTGGTCTAATTCGGTAGGTCACATTCGAGGAAAAGAGGACGGGATTGTGGTTACGACAACTGGAACACATCCGTCGTCACATGTGAAACAGATATTCCAAAAAGTTTTTTTTTCAATTTAGTGCGAAGAATATATCAGAGAATGGAATTTATAAAAATATATTTTGAAAGATTGATATTCGTATATATTCAAATGATTATACACGCTAAAAAAAAATCGGGGAATTCTTATTTTATAGAATTGATGCTTTGTCGCTTAGTCCGATCCCCACATTTCCCTGTAACTTTAGTGGGAGTTGATTTAAAGTGTCTCATTTGTTGACAATAGAGTACAAGTCATTTGATGTGTGTCCAGCCTGCAATATTAATGTCGCGGAAGTGAGACACAACAAATCTATATTCCGTCGTCGGCGTCTTCATCATTTAGATCGTTAGGTTACTCGTTTGAATTGTTTTTACATTTGTCATTTCTGGACCTGTTATAGCTTTCTATGCGGTATGGGTTTTGCTCATTGTTCAAGACCATACAGTGACATATAGTTGTTAACTTGTACCTCATTTGGTATGTGGTGGAGGGTTGTCTAATTGGAAATCATACCACATCTTCTTATTTTTATATAAGTTTTATTTGCATTAAATATTACCAAAACAATTTGTCCTGATAAATTTTCAAACCTCCATGAATTTTAAAAAAACTTGTAGGAGTTAATTTTCTATATCGAGATAAAGCATGTACAGAAAAACAATTTTTTTATTTTTGTTTTTTACCGATAAATGGACGTTTTACAGTCAACATTACACTTTTAAAATGACAGCAGCAATCTCAGGCGAGACACAGGGTTCCGTGGAATTCTTCACGAATTTATTGTTATACTGCTTCCATTTGAGAACTAAGGGAAAAATACGACAGGACCAAGTGGTTTGGGGATATCCCCCTTATGTCCGAAATATTGATATTTTTTTTGGTACTTTTTTCTTATTTTTGTCTGCCGTTCTCCTCAGTTTTCATACCAAATAACTTTGAACAACAACTCGAACTTTAATTTGAATTTTAACTCAATGGATAGCGACACTCATCCGAAGCACATTTGGAAATCGGGCTAAAAATAGAACTAATTTTTTCCAAAAGGGTCACGTGGCTTTACCTCATCAAGTAATGTGATAACTACATCAAAGAATGACAGGACCACATCAAATACAGGAACAAACACATCATGTTGTGTAAAATCGTCAAATTTTGAACCATCATTATGGTATGTTAAAGCCATATGAAGAATTGGCAAATCATCATTACGAAATAACAAAACCACATCATGTAATGAAACCAATACATAACGTTAAGCCACATACACATCAAGTTATGTTAAAACCACATTGACTAATGACACAACCACATTAAATAATGATGAAATCACATCGAGTTATGACAAAACCATATTAAGTTATGAAAAAACCATATCAAGTCAATACGAAACCATATCACGTAAATTCGAAATATCATTAAGTAACGACTATTCCATATTGAGTTATATCAAAACATCATTACGTAATGTCAAAATCATATCATGTAAAGACAAAATATCATCAAGTAATAATAAAACAACATAACGTAATATCAGAGTACCACATAAGACAGCTGTGGCGTTCCATAGATTTTACTATTCTTTTTAGGTTCATTTTTATAATAAAGCTCCTCCAATATCTCTATTATTTATACATCCTTGCTTTTCAGGGTTTTGAAATTGGAGCGTTCATGATGAAGGTAAATACAGAAAAGCCCTTCGGAAGAACAAATTGTATAAAGTGTTATTATGTTTATTGTCTCGCACTTGGTCGATACAGCTGCTGGTGGAGTGCTTGACCCCGAGTGTATCACCAGTTCAGAAGTCAGTGTTTCAGTACTGAATGAAAATAACACTTTATGAATTTGTTGCTGCCGAAGCGCTTTTCTGGATTAAATGCAACAGGAACGCTCAACGCCAAAACTGTAAGTTTATAAACATTTGGGTAAAACTTTCCACGAATGCAATGATTCCCATCACCATCATACATACAAAAACCTCAAGACTTGACACCGTTTTTATAGAGTCTTAAATAATAATTGCCTATTAACTAAAAATATATATTTTTTTAACTAACGGTGTTTTGGGATTTATTAGCTAAGTTCTATGATATACTTAGCAAGGGTCCCTTCTCAAAAGTCTCCCTATTAAAAAGTCTTGTTTTTGCTAGGTGCTCTTTTAAAATTTTTACTGTGTATATACGCAATGATAGGTATCTTTTGGAATACTGTTTTACAATATTCATCTCTTGAGGTTTTAGTATGTATGTTGGTGATGGTAATCATTGCATTTGTGGAAAGTTTTACCCAAATGTTTATAAATACAATAATGTATAAGGACTTGTATTTGACCCCAAAAAAATTCACATGGGCTCAGCAAATAACTAAAAAAAGGTCGCCAGACATCAAAGCAATCCTGGACGTCAATTGCCCTTATCCGCCAAAAAAGTTGGTAAACCAGAACAAAAACAAAATTCAATCGCTTCTACACTGTTCTACGTCATTTGGTTTCAGATGGGGAATTTTCTCATTGGCAATCATACCACATCTTCTTATTTTTATATACTGATTTATCAAAAATCAAATCTAGAACTACAAGCATTATAATAAAGTCCGAATAAATACAATTTTAGTGAAATTTGATATTAAAGGGCTATAATTATGTGCAAAGTACGTCTACCAAAAAAACACAAATCGTTGTACACCAATCTACCAAAAAGTCCGATCAATATCTGCAGACGTTTGATTTTGAGGACAAGAAAGTATTTGAATCTTGAGTAAATGATTGAAAAAACCCACTTGCATTTATGGCTATCCATTACTCTTGATCAAATAACGGCTTTAGACATAATTTAGTCGTGACCAAATTACCATGCTTTACAGATTAAAAAAAATCACGAAAAGGCAAAGTTCTTTTCTATCAACAACATTTTAACCTGGCTAAAAAGTGGAAATTTGACAACCTTTTTATTTATGGTGTTAGGTCCTTTTCATAATATTCATCTGCATCAGCATTTGATAGAACAACCTACTATCAACCTAATCCAATGGGTAAATATACATGAATAGTTTTGATAAATCTAGTCTAGATCTTGTTGAATATGGAAAACGGGTAACCTCTTTTTTTCGATTGCAACATCACCGGCGAAATGTATCCCAAAATTTGTACTTACTACGGGTGTCACATGTTGAGCAGGATCTGCTTATTGTGATAATCCCAGTTTTTTGTTTTGGTTTGTGTTGCTCCGTCTTTTTTTTTTTAATGTTTTGTGACTGTTGTTTGTCCTTTCTATTTTCTATTTTAGCAATGGTTTTGTCGGTCTGTTCGACTTTTGGTTCTCCCTTTTTTAACTGCTGTCTCTTTTTTTTGTGTATAAAAGTTCTCAGTCGAATGAATACAACGATAGACTTAACATTGATCTAAAACTCTACAACCCTATTATACCATATTTTTGTAGGAATTAAAGAATTAAAGAAAGACTGGCACCCTAGCTCAGTGTATTGCCTTTGAACAAGAGACATGATAGTACAAACCCCAGATTAACAAAACCCTTACCTAGTTTCTTTCTTTTTATACACCTATATCTAATAACAATAAAATGAAACTTAACAAAAAAAAATCTATATTGATAAAGTATTCTACCCTTCAATCGGTATCTTCTTAATGGATAGACTAGATTGAAATTTGAAAATCGGTAAACGTATGTTGCTTCTTACTTATTACATTGTAAAAACTGTATACGAACTGTCCAAATAAAGAGAACCATTGTCCGTTAAAAGATGAAGTCGAATAGACCGTTAAAGGTTGAATGAGTTATTCAATTAAGAGTAAATTTACGATATACAAAAACAAAGGTTACTAGAACAAAATAGAATAAGAAAAAATTAAGATTAAACAGTGATTTTAATATGCCTTTTACATCTGATATTTTGATGGAATCGCGATTTGATAACTGTTAAAACACGTCAATTTGGTGAAGATACAAACTGACAAACAACGTAAACAAACACGTTACACGATAAAATATCCATGAACTAGAACGGTTTAAATAACAATCCTATGATATTGCTATATTTCAGACAATGACACCAAATACAAATTGCTATTTTTGGTTTCTTCAGTTTCCTCTTGTCTACAGCCAATGTACATTTTATCACTTTGAATGATTTCAAGGCAACAAGGACCATAAATTCCTAGTTTAGACAGTAAAATATGATGCAAAATAGTTCCGTCTTTTGCGAGAATGTGTAAAGCATCATTCAACATGTCACACAGAACTATGTTACCAGCACTAGTTACTTCTAAATCCGATGGAACGAAATTATATTTGCTTGCAGCTAGCTCGCCGTTGTAAATCCATTTTAATGTCCTATCTTTTCCAAGGGAAATGATTCGTCCTTGAAGGTTAGGTAATAGTGCATCTACAACGTACAAACAGTTAATCCCATCTCTGATTCTTGTAATATTGGTAATCACTTTGGATGTTCCTGTACATTCAAAGACTATATCTTGTTTTTTATCTTTGTCAAGTTTTACAATTTGTCTGATGCTGCTGTCTGATTTTTTAAAAACTGTTTCGGAATCTCTTGTGCTTATGTAAATGAGACCACTTTTGGAAACGTGAACGGCGCGAGGAATTAAGGGTGCAAAGGAACAAAAGTTTTTTGTTTCGTTCCCAATCATAACGTAGAGATCATTTCTGTTATTGTACACAGTAAAGATCAAGGCTTGTGTTGACAGTAAAGACATGTCAAAAACTTGGTGATCACTAAAATTTTGCAATATACTAACTGTACATGAATTATTCGTTCTGATTCGCCTCAGTAATTTTGTAGGAACATCTGAAATCCATAATTCCTTCCCTATGTTCACTTTTAGTCGGTCAATACTAGGCGTATTTGATGTATATATCTCCACTAAACTGATCGGTATTTCATTCCTATCATAGAGATGTCCAAAAAGTGTTCCTAATGTGTTCTCATCGATAGGTTCTGGAAAAAAGTCCGGCAGCTTTTTAAAAACTTTTAGATCAATTGATACAGGTTCTCGTGCAGATGCCAGCCATTTCCTAGCATTCTTTGCTGTCTTATGCACATTTTCAATGTCATTTGTATTAGCAACATTTGTATTTACGTCCAACTTGTTTGTTATATCTACAATATTTTCCTGTATAGTTGATTTAGCTGTTGATGCAACACTTTCCTTTGCGCTGCTTTTATTTTCAATATCTTCCAAAATGGTCTGTTTGAAAGACTTTAAAGCAGACATAAACTTAGTTTCTTGTTTTTCTAGTTTGCATTTAACCATTTGAAGCTGGTCCATATTATCGACTTTTATCTTTTCGATCTTTTCTATTTCTTTTTCATAAAAATCTAAAAACCTGTTTTTTAGCTCAGTATTACATCTTTTTAAGCTTTTGACATCTTCGGTGAAGATTTCGTCAATTTCCTGTAAATCATGTTTTTGGTGTGACTTTGTCAAACAAGATGGACAAACTAGCTCATCACAGGTTTGACAAAAGATGCAGTAATCCTGTGAAATGTGAATTTTACATTTAGCGCGGTTTGGTTTTTGAAATTGGTCTTGATGGTTTGTGCCAACATTTTTTATTTCAACAACGTGATGCATGTCAGCCATTTTGAACTTCGGGTGTATTTTTTCGGTGCAATTCTGACACATGAGTAACTCACATTCTTTGCACTTCCATTTAACATTAGTGCTTCCTTCGCATAACTGACATTGAAGCGGAATTTGCGCTCCCCGAATTGACATCGAATGCGCCATGTCCACTGTCTGACTTTGAAACAATTATATTGTCAGGTCATATCAATTTACTACCTAACATGATATACTGACGTGAAGGGAAATGAAACAATTCCCACGAGGTTAAAGGATGTCGCTACTTACAAAAATATCAGTATATTAAAAGAACAAGCTATTGACGAAATCAAAGGAGTTCTAAAATAACTCCCCAAAAACATAGATGCAAAATGTTTAATGTATTATTGCGAATATGTAGGTACGATTTTGTCTCTATGTCTGTGTTTCCTTTTTACTTTCAATCCATCTGTCCATGCATCTGTCAATAAATTTTGTAAGTGCAACTCGTCTTTAGAAGCTTTTATTGAAACTTTATAGTTTAAGCCTATCATATAAAGATGTAGAGAAAGGGATGACAAAGCGGTAGGTCCTACGACATCAATAAATGTTAGGAAATGGCTCACATCTGCGTCAGAACCTGTGTCAATTGATCTAAAAGTGTCTAAAAAGCTGCCGGAATTTTTTCCACAACCTATCGATGGGAACACAATAGGAACACGTTTTAGATAACTTTCTGATGAAACTTCATGCTTACGCGTACCACACGAAGATGTAGAGGAAGGGATGACACAGCGGTAGTGCCTATTTAATTTGATTATTTCACACCACTGCAATTTTCAAAATTTATCCAATCGTTGCTATAAAATTCACAATATAACAGCTTTGTGTGTTTTTTAATGTTATAATCAGAGTTAGAACAAAATAATGTTGTATTTCTGAATATGGATAAATAATTCAAGTGCTTTAAGAGTTGCAATTGTGGTAGAATTGAGCAAATGTTAGTAAGTATCTGAAACTGTTTAAGAAGGATGTTCCCAGTAACCAAAACCCAAAATTATAGTGAAAGTCAACTTGTTTTGTTTTTCAAATGAAATCAATCCACATTGGTTAATGATGTCATTCAGTGCAAAAGAAAACCAAACAAAACAGAAAAGTATTCCATATCGCTGAATTAATATTTCAATTTTATAGATGTGTGTAAAACTTTTATAAAATCTTAAAATGTATTGGATAGACTGTTCAGAGTTTATGTTTCATTAGGCTTTAACAACTTTCGGATTTTACCTTGTGGGTGAAAGAAATTGGCCTCTATTAGCACCTGAGATCACCCCCAGTTTTTGGTGGGGTTCGTGTTGCTTAGTCTTTAGTTTTCTATGTTGTGTCATCTGTACTATTATTTGTCTGTTTGTCTTTTTATTTTTGGCCATGGCGTTGTCAGTTTGTTTTCGATCTATGAGTTTGACTGTCCCTCTGGTATCTTTCGTCCCTCTTTTAGTACGGTGACAAGTAAGGTAAATTTGAAAATTTAATGGATTGAAATACCTCACGGCTAATGCTGGTCTTATTTTGAAGATAAATATAATACCCTTTGATTAAGGCATGTCGTAGAGTGCCAAAGTGGTGCAGATTTTTGAAAACTGTGGTCAACGGTCAAAAGGGGGATTTTAAAAAATTGCAACTTTTGGACAATTTGGACAATTACTCGGTGGTCCCTCATGATAACTGAGGAAAAATTTCTATGGAATCATGCCCTGGGAATGTTGCACAAACTCAGCTTGTCATATTTATGTTTGATTGCCAGAGATAAGTGATATATACCCCCGCTTCCAACATGTAAGAAAATGAAATAAAATATCTTTATCTACGGAAATTATCGACAAAAAATATTTATATTTAATATTTAGCTATGCAACAATATATGACAACATATAAAGACATATTTGGGAAAGTTTTGTTAATATGCCATAAAGAACAAAGGAGAAAGGAGTACTGTAAAGTTTACACCCGGTCCATGATTCACTGAAAGAATGATGAAATTCATAATTGATTATTTAAACCCAAAAGAAAGTTGGAACTATAAAAAAATAGTCTTGATGCATAAATATCAGCATGAACACGATATATGAAGTTTTTTTTTATGTAAATAGGTCAATCAACATAATAGCAATAACATATTGAAAATGTGTGTCCCCCTTTTTATAAAACAACACAAGTAATGGAATATATAGCAGACTTGACTAAAAAGCCCGATATATATATCGGTTTTTATCCAACGCAATCATAGGTTTGAACGTTGTTTTCAATTTAGACTTGTTTATATTTTTTCGTTTGGGCTTGTATTATATTTGCCTTCGGGTTTATATGATCCGTTCATCCTATTTTGACTCCTTAAAATTCAAGAGTCTATCCTAAATTGAGGTAAATTGTATGGCTTTCCAAATACCGTTTCGATTCCTAACATCACTGAAGAGACATTAATTGTCGAAATCCGGATATGGTGTACAAAAACCTTTGCACCTTTTGTTTGCGGTATAACATCTTTTCCGCAGGTTTATTGTTTCGTGTTTAGTATTAAATTTATATTTAAGATCCATTCATTACATCGGTGATCCGTTTATTTGGCAATCGCCAATGGTAGTCAGCAGGGTTTAATGACACATTTGTTGTTCGACCTGTTAGTCAAATGCGTTTTGTTAAAATATACTTTTTCACTTTTTTGGTCTTTTGGAAAATGTTGTTTGTGCTGTATTTAGACCCCTCTAACAAGAAATTTGTTTTGCATGCACACGTATAAAAATTGCGGTTTTTATCCAACGCAATCATAGGTTTGAACGTTGTTTTCAATTCAGACTTGTTTATATTTTTTCGTTTGGGCTTGTATTATATTTGCCTTCGGGTTTATATGATCCGTTCATCCTATTTCGACTCTTTAAAATTCAAGAGTCTATCCTAAATTGAAGTAAATTATATGGCCTTCCAAATACCGTTTCGATTCCTAACATCACTGAAGAGACATTAATTGTCGAAATCCGTATATGGTGTACTAATTTTTGCACCTTTTGTTTGCGGTATACCATCTTTTCCGCAGGTTTATTGTTTTTCTTTTTGGTTTTAAATTAATAGTTAAGATCCATTTTGTTACATCTGGTGATCCGTTTATTTGGCAATCGCCAATGGCAGTCAGCAGGGTTTAAGAACATCCGTTGTTCGACCTGCTAGTCAAATGCGTTTTGTTAAAATATACTTTTTCACTTTCTTGGTCTTTTGGAAAATGTTGTTTGTGCTGTATTAAGACCCCTCTACCAAAAAATTTGTTTTGCATGCACACGTATAAAAATTGCGGTTTTTATCCAACGAAATCATAGGTTTGAACATTGTTTTCAATTTAGACTTGTATATATATACATATATGTATGTGAATTACCAAAAAACACGATTCTTGGAGATATTACGCTACAAAGGAAGCTGTCTAGGTATATACTTCACTAACACTAGAAATCAATAATGCACGTCCATTTGAAAAGGTAACGGAATACTAAGAAAAAAAATATGTGGATGTCATGGTATGTAATACTTCCGAAATATCGATACAAAAATATCTCTAGTGGAGAGAGAGAGAGAGAGAGAGAGAGAGAGAGAGAGAGAGAGAGAGAGAGAGAGAGAGAGAGAGAGAGAGAGAGAGAGAGAGAGAGAGAGAGAGAGTCGGAGGCCACTAGCAGCAGAAAATATGAAATATTGGACATTGAGATTAATAGTTCAAACATCATCCTTATCGTAGCAATCTTTTAAAACAATCTGATGAGTAAAGTTTGTTTCTACAATCACCATTGCCCTGACAACAACAAATTATAGTGCACGACAAATTCTGTTCATAGCATACGCAAATTTGCTACAAATAGTTTTGGCCTTACATTTAAAAACAAGTCCTGTAAAATGTCAGAAGAAATTTGATTCAAAATATACTGAAACTGTTGAGCTATTCCCCATATCCATATTCCAAAGGTGATCTAGGTGATGGTTTGGCGGTATAAGCATTCATCCAGACGTACACTTAGAGTGAAACTCGAAGAATGTGCTGTCTGAATGATGCCTCTGAAGGAGGAAGCCTCACTATGGAAGCAACCTTAGAAAGCCAACTTAATTTTTTAGTTTATTAAGATCACCATGTACTGATTGTGCATTGCTTCTGGGGTCATATAGATCCGCGATGGATTGATTTTTTCACTGCAACAGATGTATCAATATTAGAAGCAGCTAGATTGACAAACTTTGATACATGTATGGGTTTTGTTTCGACGCCTTATAACTGTTTTCTTTTTGCCAATTCCGATTAAAGAAGACGTGTCGCATCCTGTAAGACCGTGAGCCAGACATCAGTGGTCCAATAACTTTGCATATGTCGTGAACAGATAAAAACCGTCTTGCATCTTTGGTTGAAGAAACGCTTATAGTCTAAATCAACAAACCTTTCGAAATTGTCCGTTAATACAATTTGAAATTAATATAAACTTAGGTTTCAACTGCCTCAGGTAAAGTTGACCTTAGATGGATTTAGCTATTTTTGTATGTCCTTTTTGGTAATATAGCCTTTCAACTGTTTCAGTTCTTATGCATCCTTGGCTTTCAAATATTCTGCTTTGAGCGTTCCAGATGAAGGTAAATCTAGAAAAGCACTTCGGACGCATACAATTTATAACGTGTTGTTTTCATTTTTTTCATCATGTTTGACATCCGAGGAAATTACATAATCTTTCAATCAGTTTAATTGAGGTCTGGAGCTGGCATGTCAGTAACTGCTAGTAGTCTGTTGTTATTTATGTATTATTGTCATTTTGTTTATTTTCTTTTGATTCCTATTCTGACATCGGACTTAGACTTCTCTTAAACTGAGTTTTACTGTGCGTACTGTTGTACGTTTGTTTTTTCTACATTGGCTAGAGGTATAGGGGGAGGGTTGAGATCTCAAAAAACATGTTTAACTCCGCCGCACTTTTGCGCCTGTCCCAAGTTAGGAGCCTCTGGCCTTTGTTAGTCTTGTATCATTTTTAATTTGAGTTTCTTGTGTATAATTTGGAGTTTATTATGACGTCCATTATCACTGAACTGGTATACATATTTGTTAAGGGGCCAGCTGAAGGACGCCTCCGGGTGCGGGAGTTTCTCGCTGCAATGAAGACCCATTGGTGGCCTTCGGCTGTTGTCTGCTCTATGGT